AGGAGGAGGAGGAGGAGGAGGAGGAGGAGGAGGAGGAGGAGGAGAAGGAAACCCGAGGATTCCCAGAGGCGAGCCTCATGAGGGTCCAGATGACCTGCGGAGCTCCGAACGTGGTCCCAAGAGGAGCCCAGACGGCCCGAGAGGGTCGCAGAAGGTCCCGAAGAGGCCCACGAGAGGACCCGAGAGGCTCTCAACCCCCCGAAAGGCCCAAAGAGGTTTCATCCTCCTCCTCCTCCTCCTACCCCTCCTCCTCCTCCTCCTCCTCCTCTTCCTCCTCCTCCAAAACTACCTCCAAGAGAGGGGGCCCGGCGCTCCCGCCACGCCCGAGAGAGCCTCGCCTTCGGCACAGCTCCAACACAAAAAACTGCCTCCCCAACGCAGCGGAGCACGTCCGACCCAACAACGGCGTCTGCGAAGATCTTATACTCGATGTCAAACCTTCTTGAAGCTCTCTTGGGCCCCTCCTGGAGAGCCTTGCGAGCCTCCTGGGCGCTCTCGGCGGCTTTCCCCGAGGGCCTCCCGCGCCTTTCCCCGTGCGCTCCTGAGACGCCTCAGATGGCCTTCGACTTTGACGCACGTCCCCGAGAGACTTCAACTGCCTTCAACAGGAGGGGGGTGAACGAGCCGTGCGCCGGGGCCAAGCTGGTGGAGCGCTGCAAGAGCTCGGACACGAAGGCGCGGTCTCGCTGCCGCCGCCCCAGCCGCCGCCGTGTTTATAATTTTTCGGCACAATCTCCGCCGTTCCGCCGAGAACCATGCCAGAAAGATGTCGTGGACGGAGTCCACGGGTCAGCTCTGGTCAGTTACAATGCTGGGATCAGCGCGTGCGGAAAGGGCGAGCAGTGGCAGCGGGGCCTGGCGCTGCTGAGCGAGATGCGGGAGGCGAAGCTGGAGCCCGACGTCATCTCTACTACAATGCAGGGGCCCACGCGTGCGGGAAAAGCGGGCGACGGGGAAAGCGCAGTCGGCGCCCCGGCGGCCCCTGCGAGCCCCGGAGAGCCCCCAGACGGCTCCGAGACGGCTCCGAGACGCTCAAGAGGCATCCCCGACGGCCCAAAGACGGCTCCGAGCCGCTCAAGAGGCCGCCTCGACGGCCCCAGAAGCCCCCAAGGCAGGCCAGGAGGTCCCAGGACGGCCTTGGATGACCTCCCACGAGAGCCCCAAGAGGCCAAAATCGTCGAATTCCCTTAGGGAAACGCAAATTTTGGGCATTCTCGTGCTTTTCGTTTCCGACGCGTCCACGACGGCCATAGAGGCCCCCAAGATCGCCCTACGATGCCCCGTATGAGGGCCCCAAGACGGCCCAAGACGACCCCAGGACGGCCCAAGAGGCGCCCAAGACGGCCCAGGAGGTGCCCAAGACAGGCCGAGACGGCCCCAAGACAACCACCCGAGAGGCAATCAAGACGGCCCAAGAGGGCCCCCAGAGCCCCCAGAACGCCGCAAAACGGCTCCACCACGGCTCGCCCATGGCAGCCCAAGAGACAGCCCGAGGGCCCCAAGCGGCCCCAAACCGTTTCAAAACGGCCCCAGCACGGCTCCTGCGGCGCCCCTGGCGGCCTACGGGGCACCCAAGTCTCAAGAGCGGCCCAGGACGGCCCAAGACGACCCCCATGGTGCCCAGACTACTCCAGAGACGCCCAAGACGGCCCCAGACAACCACCAGACGGCACCAGACGGCCTCCACACTGCCCAAGAGGCACCCGAGACAACCCAAGAGGGCCCCAGGAGGCTTCTACTTGGATCGCTGCGGTGGTTGCTGAGGGGATGTGCGGGTTTTATAAAGCCTGACCCAGCTTAGAAGGGGGTTGCACGCGCCCTAAGTGGCTTACGGGCGCGCAGATCTGGACTAAGTGGGCGGAGCCCTCCTAGCGGAGTTACTTCAGCATCCTAAGCCACAGAGGGCACTTGTCACCCACTTATAAGATGGGTTAGGCCAGATCGAGCCCACTTTAACGTGCTCTTCGAACCTCACATTCCCTTAGCAACTCCCGCGGTGATCCAAGCAGGAGGCCGAGAAGAATCGCTGAGAGGCTCCTAGAGGCCCCAAGATCACGGCCCAAGAAGCACCGAAGACAGCACCACCATCAGCCAAAGACGGCCTGAGACGGCCCGGAGACGGTCCCCAAACGGCTCCAAGCGCACCATGGGCCAGTCACAGAACCTAGCCGGTTCTGGGCAGGCGAGCCGGTGGCCCAGAATCGGCTAGGGCCGCCCCGGAGGCGCTCGCGCCGTCCCCGGACGCGCCAGGCGGATTTGAGCCTGTTTTTTTTAGACTCTGGCAAGTTTACTTGCATGGACGGGGGGGGGGACTGAGCCTGAAGCCAGCCGCAAACGACTTGCACGTTCGGGGGGCGCGGAAATCACGCAAGTCGAAAGGCACTTGCACGCTGGTATTCGCTCGAAGAGGAGCGAGGGGGAGGGGGGGGGGGGGGGGAACGCCATGCAAGTAAACTTGCCTGAATCCAAAAAAATCAGGCTCGAATCGGTCCCGCCGATGTTGGGCTGGCGGATTGGGCCCAGAAGCGGGCAGGCCCGCCCCCTAGGCGCGAGGATTGGCCCAGCGCGCGCTGGGCGGGATTCTTGGCAAGTGGCGCGGCGGCCCAGGCCTGCGGCCCAGAATTGTCCTGGCCGACCCCAGAAGCGCGCGCGGCGGCCCCGGGGCGCGTCGGGCGGGATTCTGGGGCCCAGAATCGGCTGGGTGGCTCCAGAGGCGCGCGTGGCCCCACGAGCGAGGGGCAGGACTCTGGGACGGCGGGCCCGGGGGCGCCCAGAGTCGGCACCGCCGACTCTGGGCCGGGGGGCCGGTGGCCCTGAATCGGGCCAGCCCAGCCTTGCAGCCCGTGGTCGCCGCGGCCGCCGCCGCCGTCGTCGTCGTCGCCGTCGTCGTCGTCGTCGTCGTCGTCGCCGTCGTCATCGTTGTCGTCGCCGCCGCCGCCGCCGCCGTCGGTGTCGTTGGGGGCTCGTTGGGGGCTCCCAGACGGGCGAGCAGCGCTACCTGGCGACCCCGCAGGTCAGCGAGATGTGGCAGGCAAACATGACGCCACTCATCTTGCTCGCCTTGCGGCAGCACCCCTTCACCCCGCAAGTGGACGTAGTCCACGGGTCAGCCCCAGCCCATACTCTAACGCCGGGGGCGACGCGTGCCAGAAGGACGCAAGGACGCAGGACTCAGTGGCTCAAAACCGCTCCGGGCTGGCCCCGGGCCGCTCCCGGTCGCCCAGAGAAGCCTGAAGACGGGACCACAGTGGTCCAGAGGGCCCCAAGACGCCCCCAAGACGGCCCAAGAGTGCCCCGAGACGCCCAATGATCGGGCCAAGAAGCCCAAGATTGGCCCAAGGACGGCCCAAGAGGTCTCAAGACGCTCCAAGAGGCCTTTCCAGACGGTCCCGAGAGGCAAACATCGCTGAATTTCATTAGTTTTTCTATGTTTTTTGCAGTCTCTCTTTGTCGGCTGCCCGACGCTCGAAGACCGCCCAAGAGGCCCACAAGACCGCTCCAAGACGGCCGAAGAGGCCTCCCAGACAGCACAAGAGGACCCCAAGATGGCCCAAGAGCCCCCCCAAGATGACCCAAGACGGCCCGAAGAGGGCGCCACCAGGGGGGGGCCCGAACTGACCTTTCGTGCCCTCCGCTCCAGGATGATCCCAGACACCGCCCGCCAGCTGACCCCCAAGAGGCCCCCCAGACGCCCCCGAAGGCGATACAGTGCCAGAAGACAGCCCAGGAGGGCCCCAAGAGGCCCTCAAGACGGGCCCCGTGAGGTGAAAATCCTGAATTTCCCGCGTGTTTGAAGGGTTTCAGCGTTTTCGATTCTTCGGAGCCTTCACGCTCCAAGCTGGCCCCAGGGCCCCCAAGATCGCGCCACGATTGCCCAAGATGCCCCCAAGAGAGCTCCCAGACAGCCCAAGAGGGCCCCAAGACGGCTCAAGACGGCCCCAGGAGTGCCTCACGAGGTGAAACTGCAACTGGCATTTCGCGCCCTCCGCTCCAGGATGATCCCAGAAACCGCCAGTTGCCCTTCAAGAATCCGCCCCGACGCCCCAGAGAAGACGGCCCAAGAGGGCTCCGAGAGGCCACCAATAAAATGATGGATTTTCCTTGAATGTTTGGAAGGGTTTCAGCGTTTTCGTTTTTTCGGAGTCTCCACGCTTCCAGCCGGCCCCAGGGCCCCCAAGAGAGCTCCCAGACGGCCCAAGAGCGCCCCAAGACGGACCAAGAGCCCCCCAATACCGCCCAGGACGGTCCCAAGAGGACCGCACGAGGGGCAACTCGAACTGACATTTCGCGCCCTCCTCTCCATGATGATCCCAGACCGCCAGCTGGCTCCCAGGAGGCCCCCCGGACGCCCCAGAAGGGCCCCGAAGAGGCCCAAATCGGGCCCCCAGATACCCTCAAGAGGCCAGAACACCCCCCGAAGCCGCCTCCAAGAGGCTTCCGAGGGAAGATCCCTCGGAGAGCTCTGGAACCGCGCCGGCCCCCCCGGGAAAATAAGGCGCCGATGCGCCTCTCATTTTCTTCCCTCCTCTGCAAAGGCTCCAGTTTGACTTGCTCGCATCTTCGGAGCCTCCACACCCCAAGCTGGCCCCAGGGCTCCCAAGAAGGCTTCCGAGGGAAGATCCCTCGGAGAGCTCTGGAACCGCGCCGGCCACCCAGGAAAATATGAGGCGCCGATGCGCCTCTTATTTTCCTCCCTCCTTTGCGAAGGCTCCAGGCTGAGGTCGGGATCAAGCAGCAAGAAGCGGAATGAATAAGCGGCAAACGCCGAAGAGCAACAGCAAAAGCGAGCGGCAACACGCAGCACTCAGCAGCAGCAAGCGGCTGTAAAGGGCACTGGGCAGAAGCAAGCACGCTTGCCCAGACACCGCTCGCCACCTCGAGCAGATGTCGTGGACGTAGTCCACGGGTCAGCCCTAAGAAGCTACAGCGCTGGGATCAGCGCGTGCGAAAAGGGCGAGCAGTGGCAGTGGGCGCTGGCGCTTCTGAGCGAGATGCGGGAGGCGAAGCTGGAGCCCGACGTCATCAGCTACAACGCTGGGATCAGCGCGTGCGAGAAGGGCGAGCAGTGGCAGCGGGCGCTGGCGCTGCTGAGCGAGACGCGGGAGGCGAAGCTGGAGCCCGACGTCATCTCTCCTACATGGCGGGAGGAAGCGCGTGCCAAACCTGCGGGGACTCATGTAGATAAACTCACCCCTTTACGGCCTCACCACGTGGTCGATTCGCCCACGCCGGTCCAACAGGGGCCCAAGAGCGGTTGCAGGACGCTCCGCGAGCGCTCCAAGACAGCCTCAGTTGGTCCTCGCACTGGCCTCGAGGCCGGGGAGACTTCCGAAGCTGGCCCCCAGATGATTCAAGAGAGCCCACGGACGCTGCGGGAGGGCCCTCAGAGGACGCCGAAGAGGCGAATATCAGCAAATTCGGATGGGAAACTGCACATTTACATCATACCAGCCTTCTGCGCGGCTCACCGGGCCAGGATACGCCAAGACGCTTCCCGCATCGCCCCAAGACGACCCAAGCGGCCCCCAAGATGGCCCTAACAGGGCCCCATGACGGCCCAAGAGAGCCTTCAAACTGCGTCCTACGACCGCACGAGAGCTCCACGAGGGCCCCCACCGGCTCCCAAGCGGGCCTCAGCAAGACGCCCTGAGCTGGTTCCGTCACTGGCCTCCAGGCTCCGCAGACCTCCGATGGTGGGTCCAACACGGTTCAGGAGGGCCCTCAGACGCTGCGAAAGAGCCCAGAGAGGACGCCACAGAGATAATTATCCCAGTGCGACCCTACCTAGGAGTTGGAGCCCCTAGGAAAGCAGCATTAGTAGCAACAGTAGAGCGAGATAAAAACCTTAAGATTCCCATGGCAAAACTTTGATTTCAGTGAATTCGCTTGTGGCACGGCTCAGCGGCCCATGATACGCCAACATGCCTTCCAGCTCGCCCAATGCCAACCCAAGCGGCCCCCACGAGGGCCCCAAGAGGGCACCCATGCCGCCGCAACACAGCCTTCAAACAGCTTACATGGGCCCCATGAGAGCTCCAAGAGAGCTCCAAGAGGATCGCAAGCGGGCCGCATGAAGCCTGCAAGACGGGCAGAGTTGCTCACTCGAGGCTCCACAAACCTCTTCAGGTGCCTCCAAGACGGTTCACGAGGGCCCCAAGACGCTGCGAGAGGGCCCCGAGAGGAAGCCAGAGAGGCGAAAATCATTAAATTCCTATGGGAACTGCCTCCTATGGCGCTGTTCAGCGGCCCAGGACACGCCAAGACGCCTTCCACATCGTCCCAAGACGACCCAAGCGTGCCCTAACAGGGCTCCATGACGGCCCCAGAGTGCCTTCAAAAAGCGCAGCAAGGCCCCAGGAGAGCTCCGAAAGGGCCCCCTGAGGCTCCCCAGCGAGCCTCAGGAAGCCGCCGGGACGGCATGAGCTGGTCTGGACGCTGGCCTCGAGGCTGCACAGACCTCCGAATGTGGCTCCAAGACGATGCCTGAGGGCGCACAGACGCTGCGAGAGCGTCTGGAGAGGACGCATCAGAGGCAAAACTCCTTACATTTCTATGGGAACACCTACATTTACATTATATATGTTTGTTGTGTTCTGGACTACCATTTCAGCCTCTCAGTCTCTGCAAGCCATGGCTCATTTTTCTCCAGCCGTAAGAGTTCTTACGGCCGGAAAAATTATCCTGTGTTGGAAAGCCTCTGGCCCCATCTTGCAAACACGGGCGATCGTCGCTCTTGCTCGCCGGGGCGCATAAGATAGCCTCCAGACGGCCCAAGAGGCGCCAAAATTGCTCCAAGTGGGGCCCCGAGAAAGCCCGAACTAGGACAAATCTTCGGAAAACGCTCATTATGGCAATTCCCGTGCTTTTTTGTTTTCAAAGCGCCCAAGACGATGATACTGTCTCACAAGATCGCCACAAGAGGGCCCAGGAGGTTCCCGGGAGGGCACCACGACGGCCCAAGGCGGTCCCAGGACGGATCCTGAGGCGCACATGACGGCCCAAGCTGCTCCCATGACAGCCCTGAGCCCCAAGGCGGTCCAAGGACAGCCCCGGAGCCACCCAAGACGGTCCTGGACTGCTCCAAGACGGCCCAAGGGGCACCCAAGACTGCCCAAGAGGGCTCCAAGAGGCTCCCAGGAGGCCGCCAGACGGCCCAACAGGGCCCCAAGAGGTTCTTACAAGGCGGAACAGAGCCCGGGGCGCGGCCACACCCATGGGAAATAAACTCCGACTTCGAGGTTTATTTTCCTACGCCCTGAGGCGGAGCAATCAACCCTAGCCCAGGACGTTCGTCGACTCGCCGCGTCAACGGAATGCCAGTACCAACCCTGAAGGTGTCCCCCCAGGCTCCGGATGGGGCAGGATCGTTCGTGGATCAACGACGCCCACGAAAAAGATTCCGTAACCTCGGAGGCCATTCTCCATGGTCCTGCTGTCGGCCGAAAAAAAAACACCCAAAACCACTCCTCGGCCCGCCACGTCGACGGAAAATCAACGCCACTCTCGAGGTTTATTCTCCGACGTCCCAGGTGGGCAAACGGGTTCTGGAGAGACGTCTTTCGTCAACAAGCGCTTTGGCGCTTACTCTGAAGTTCTGGATTTCGTTTCTGCGGTGTTCCGTCTCTACCCTCCCAACGGGGCGCGGCCATACCCACGGAAAATATACCCAGACTTGGAGATTTTTTCTGACGCCCCGAGGCGGAGCAATTTAACCTTCGCATAGGACGTTCGTCGGCTCGCCACGTCCACGGAATGCCAGTACCAACTCTGAAGTTTCCCCCCCAGGCTCCGGATGGGGCACAGACGTCTCACCCGGATCGTTCGTGGATCAACGACGCCCGCGAAAAAGATTCCGTAACCTCGGAGGCCATGTTCCAGGGTCCCGCGGTCGGCCGAGAAAACAGCCCCCAAGACCATCCCTCGGCCCGCCACGTCGACGGAAAATATACACCACTCTCGATGCTTATTTTACGAGGTCCCAGGTGGGCTCCAGGGTTCTGGCGAGACGTCTTTCGCAAACCTGCACTTTGGCGCTCACTCTGGAGTTCTGGGTTTCGTTTCTGCGGAGATGGAGGGTGGATGAGAAACCTATATTGTGTCAGAGAAGGGCGCGCAGCGGTTCTACCCTCCAGCTCGGCGCACCCCTCACACGGCTCGTGGCTGCATACGGAGCGCTGTCCGCCTCCGAGGGTGCGGGCACAAAGGGCGCGAAGGTTACCGGGCCTCGCGCGGCGCAGCGCCGCGAGGTGTTTGTGTGGCACAGGATCTGGGCGTGCTTCTGAGAGGCGGCCCAGGCGATGGACGCAGAGAGGATGCCAGCCTTTGCCCAGGCTCGGGCCAGACGAAATCGGCGGAGGCCGAGTTCACACACAGACAGTTCGCCTTCAGGAGGGCTCCTCGCCGCCACGTGCAGCTTCGACAGTGGGGGAGGGCCTAGGGACCGATTCTGACAGCTTTGCCCCCCCCCCTTCCTCGGCCGCGACAGGCTGTGCAGGCCCGCGGGACGCCCCGCCAGTTCGACGGAGTGTGGGCCACAACCACCGGCCAGGCGCTGGCGGCCAATATGATACCGTGGCCGGAGGCCACGGGTCAGCCCTAATCTATGTTACAATACCGGGCATTGCGCGTGCGAGAAGGGCGAGCGATGGTCACCCGCGGCTGCGCCCCGGGATCCCCGCCCGTGGGGTGACGCCGACTCAGCCCAGGACAGCCCCGGGGCGGCCCATGAGGGCCCCGACGCGAAGGCCTCGAGAGTCTCCCGGAAGCTCCCCAGCGAGCCCGAGAGGGCCCCAGGACGGGATCGGAGGGCACCCGCGAGCTTCCACGGAGCTCCCAGGGGACCCCCACGAGAGCCCCGAGGCAGCAAAACTATTGATATTCTCGAGGGTTTTTGACGCCCACCCCAAGACGCCCACCACGGCACCGCGGGCGTCCGAAATCGGGCTCATGTTGCCCCGGGGGCCTCAAAGAGAGTCCCCAAGACGGCCCCAGAGGCCCCAGATCGAGCTCCTTGTGCCCCAAAGACGGCCCAAGAACCCCCCCAGACGGCCCCAAGGGACGCCCAAGAGGGTCCAGTTCGGAGCGCTTCCCCTCCACGGCCAGCAAGGCTCCAAGACGCCCCCGAGAGACCCCCAGAAGGCCCGTGAGGCGCTCCCAAGAGGCCCCCTGGGCGCTCTGCAGAGGCTCCCAGAAGGCTTCAGAGGCGCCCCCAAGAGCTCTCACAGCCAAGAGCGTGGCCGCCTCCACCCCTCAGAGCGTGGCCCCTTCGCGGGTTCCTCAGGACACGTCGGCCCGTCCATCCTTGCGCAGCCAGTGGGCCCTGGGTCTTCATGCTCCAGAGCGTCGCCCCTGACTGCGCAAAAACCATACCCCGCGCCTCTTGGGACACGCATCGCCTGGGAGGGAATGCAAAGAAGCCCTGCTTGGGCCACCCGCAGACGTCCCAGGCCCCCTTTCCGTGGACCCCTCCCGCACGGAGCGTGTCCCAAGAGGTGTGGGGTACGGTTTTCTCCATGCCAAACGCGCGCTCCCCCCTCGCCTTCCTCCTCCCCGCCCCTTGCTCGCGCCCCCCCTGCTCCTGCGGCTGCTGTTGCTGCCCCTGCTCCTGTTGCTGCTGCTGCTGCTGCTCCTGCTGCTGCTGCCGTTGCTCTCCCTCCGCCTCGTGCTGCTCCGCCTGTTGGACCCCGCCGCCCCTCCATCCCTGCTCCCCCCTGCCTCTCTATCCCCGTCCTGCCATTCCCACTTCTCTGAGCCTTCTCACCTCTGGCCGCCAACCTCGCCGCCTGCCATCACTGCTGCTGCTGCTGCTGCTGCTGCTGCTGCTGCTGCTGCTGCTGCTGCTGCTAGCGCTGCTCCAGACGCCGTCAGGATCATCAAGCACACAGCGCACCCTGAAGCAATGAGCAGCAACGAGCGCACTCTCAATCCTCTGGCATTCGTGGACGGTAGTCCACGGGTCAGCCCTAGTCTACACTACAACTCAGGGACACGTGCGTGCGGGAAGTGCGGGCGCTGGCGGGGCGTAACCGTAACCGGCCTGCCTCCCTGGTCGCCCCACGACGGCCCGAGACGCACCAGATGGCCACAGAGCGCCCAAGACGGCCCAAGAGGGCCTTCGACGAGGTCCCACAGCGCTCCGAGATGCCCAAGCTAGGCACCAGACGGCCCCAAAGTCCTCCCGAGACGCTCCAAGTCGGCTCCAGGACGAGCTCCAAAAAGCCAGATCAATGAAAAATCGTTAAAATTCCTGTGGAAAACGAGCCTTTTTCCAGGTCCACTGCTTTTCGTCCACTGCGATGTCCACACGGCCCTACTGGCCCTCCAGATTACCCCACCACGCCTCTGAAAGCCCCCTGGACGGCCCCAAGACGGCCCCACGATGGCTCTTGAGGCGCCGATGGCAGACCAAGATGCTGCCATGACAGCGCCGCGACGGTCCCAAAACGAGTCAAGACGGCTCCGAGATGGCTCCAAGACGGCCCCACAGGCGCTAAAGACAGCCTCCTACTGCCCCGAAACGGCCCCAGAGGCGCCCAAGAGGGCCCAAAGACAGCCTTAGAGGCACCCCAGACAGCCCCGGAGGGCCCCAAGAGGCCCTAATGCGGCACCCAGGGAGGCGAAAAGAAGCGCCGAACGGCACCGAATAGGTCCACAGCGCCTCTCCGAGCCACCACGGGTCCACAGGAGGCCCTGAGTGCCCCAGACGCGCCCACAACGGCTTTACACATCCATGTCGGCGGTCGGATGCCCCAAGAGGCCCCAGAAAGTCCAAGGAGGGTCCAAGGAAACGCCCAGGAAGGCCCCAAGAGGGTGCCAACGCGGCCCCTGCTGGGTCCAGGACGGCCCAAGGAGGCGCACAGGAGGGGTCCAAGACGACTCCAAGGCGGCCCCCTGACAGCCCCAAGATAGTGCCAACAAGGACCCCGATGGGCCCAGGACGGCCCAATTACGGACGCGCCCATGAGGGGCCCACGACGAACCAAGACGGCCCCACCACGGCAAACGGCGCCACTCTTCGGGCCAACCAGACCGGACCCCTGGGACAGCAGCCAATTGATATGACCCAGGCACCTCTCCGCACTCTTCGGACCACACAGACCCTCTGGGCGAACAGAATGGGACTGGGCGAACAAATCCTCCCTTTGGCGGCGATGCGACTGGATCGCACCATCAAGGCGTGCCAGGAGGTGATGGCCGACCCAACAGCGGTTCCTGTTAAGACTTTACTGAATTTCAAATTTTCCTTGAGCTCTCTTGGGCCCTCCCTGTAGATCCTTGCGAGCCTCCCCGACGCTTTCGGTGGTTTTCCCCGAGGGCCTCCCGAGCCCTTCCCCAGGCGCTCCTGAGACGCCTCAGATGGGCTTCGACTTCGACGCACATCCCCGAGAGACTTCGAAACTGCCCTCAATAGGAGGGGGGTGAACGAGCAGTGCGCCGGGGCCAAGCTGCTGGAGCGCTGCAAGAGCTCGGACACGAAGGCGCGGTCTCGCTGCCGCCGCCCGAGCCGCCGCCGTGTTTGTAGATTTTCGGTGCAATCTGTGCCGTTCCTCCGAGAACCATTCCAGAAAGATGTCGTGGACGGAATCCACGGGTCAGCCCTAGTCTCTACTACATTGCAGGGCCCAGTGCGTGCCAGAAGGGCGCAGGCTCCAATGAGTCAAAACCGCCCCGGGCTGGCCCAGGGCCGCCCCGGGCCGCCCAGGCAGGCTCCAGGACATGTCGAGAGGGCCCCAGAAGCCCCCAAGACGGCCCCGGAGAGCCCCGGCACGCTTAAAGATGGGCCCAAGACGCCCAAGATTCGCCCCAGACGACCCAAGAGGCGTCCAAGACGCCCGAAGAGGCCTCCCAAGAGGGCCCCGAGCGACAGAAATCGTCGATTCCTATAGTGTTTTGCGATGTTTTCGGCCTCCTCGCCTCTTCGGCTTCCCGACGCTCCAAGACGGCCCAAGAAGTCCCCCCGACCGCTCCAAGACGGCCGAAGAGGACCCCAAGAGAGCCCCAAGACGGGCCAGGAGGGCCCCAAGACGGTCCCAAGACGCCCCAGGACGGCCCCAGGACGGCCCAGGAGGCGCCCAAGACGGCCCAATAGGCACCCAAGACGGCCCCAGGAGCGGCCCAAGACGGCCCAAGACAGCCCAAGAGGCGCCGAGGCGGGCCTCAGACGGCCCCAAGACGGCCCAAGAGGCACCCAAGACGGCCCGAGAGGGCCCTGAGAGCCCCCCCGGGAGGCCCAAAAGAAGGCCGAAGAGGCTCCGAAACGGCCCCCACGAAGCCTTCAGTGGCTTCAGAATTCCCTCCAGGAGCGGGGGAGCGGACGAGAGGCGACAGGCATATCGCAGGCAAAAACGCCCCAAGAGATCCCCAAACGGCCCCCACGAAGCCCTAAGTGGCCTCAGAATTGCTTCCAGGAGGGGGGGAGCGGACGAGAGGCGACCGGCATATCGAAGGCACAAAAGAACAATGTTGGACGCTCCGAGGGCCTTCGATGTTTCTCTTTTGGGGAGAGTCGTCGTAGGATCGACGATTGCCGACCGAGGGCAGCGAACCCAGTGGAGGCCCAAGAGGCCCCCAGGAGCCCAGAAGAGATCCCCAAGAGGTGCCACGGGGCTTAAAAACTGCTTCGAAGCGAGGGGGGCGGACGAGGGGACCGCCTCAGGAGGTTTTGGACGGTTTTGGGCTTCAAAATCGTCCGCTTTACGACGGTTTTGGAAGGATTTTGGCCTTCTCGCCTTTTCCGCTTTCCGACGCTCGAAGACGGCCCAAGAGGCCTCCAAGAGCGCCCCAGAACGGCCCAAGAGGTTTCCAAGAGCGCCCCAAGACAGCCCAAGAGGGCCCCAAGACGACCCAAGAGACGCTCAAGACGGCCCACGAGGGCCCGAAGACAGGCCCAAGAGGGGGCCAAGAGGGGGACCACGGACCGAAAATCCGAGCCTTCCGCCCCAAGAGGGCGCCAGGAGGCCCAAACAGGCCCCCAAGAGGCCCCAAGGGGCCGCCAAGAATCCCCCAAGAGGCCCCAGGAGGCTCCCAAGGAGCCCAAACGAGGCCCCAACAGAGGCCCCAACAGCTTCCAAAATGGCCCCAAAGAGGCCTCGAGCCCGCCTCCGAGCTTCCTCGCCGCGAGGGTGCCAACACGGCCCCAGAGGGGCCCAGGACGGCCCAAGGCGCGCTCAAGACGCCCAAGACGATTCCAAGACGGTCCCAGGAGGGTGCGCCCAGGACGGCCCAAGGACGCGCCCGGTCGGGGCCTCAAGACGGGCCAAGATGGCAAGAGAGCCCCAGCTGGCAAAAATCGTTAATTTTCCATTGTTTACTGTTACACCTTTTGCGTTTCCCGCCGTTTCGGCGGTCCGATGCACCAAGAGGCCCCAGAAAGTCCCAGGAGGGTCCGAGGAACCGCCCAGGAAGGCCCCAAGACGGGCCAAGACGGACCCAGCACAACCCAAGGCGCGCTGCGACGGCTCAAGACGGCTCCAAGACAGCCCCAAGAGGGTGCCAACACGGCCCCTGCTGGGCCCAGGACGGCCCAAGGAGGCGCACAGGAGGGGCCCAAGACGACTCCAAGGCGGCCTCCTCACGGTCCCAGACGGCTCCAAGACAGCCCCACGAGGACCCCGATGGGCCCAGGACGGCCTACGGACGCGCCCATGAGGGGCCCACGACGAACCAAGACGGCCCCATCAGGGCAAACGGCGCCCTCAAGACGGGCCTAGACGGCTCCAAGACGGCCCTTTGAGGGAGCCAACGCGGCCCCACACCCTTCGGGCGCACACTTGGGGGGGCTGGGAGCTTGCGACAAGTCTCCCACATTCATTGTCCTGCCCCATTCTGTTCGCCTGGAGGCCTCCTCCAACCCTGTGGGCGAACAAGAGGAAACCCAGCGGGCCGCCAACCCTGGGGCCCGTGGGCCCCGCGCCGCTTGGGCAGAAGACGAACGCCGGGTCTGACAGGCCAGCTACCGCCCCCCTTTGCCCGATATGCTGTGCCATTCTGTTCCCCCAGGGGCCTTGGCAAACTCTTCGGGCCAAGCAGACCGGACCCCTGGGACAGCAGCCAATTGATATGACCCTGGGACCTCTCCGCATTCTTCGGACGAGCATCTGGGGGGCCCAGGAGATTCGGACATGTCTTCCCCATTCCTTGCCCTGTCCCGTTCTGTTCGCCCGAAGGCCTCCACAGACCCTCTGGGCGAACAGAATGGGACATGGCGAACAAACCCTCCCGTTGGCGGTGATGCGACTGGATCGCACCATCAAGGCGCGCCCGGAGGTGATGGCCGACCCAACAGCGGTTTCTCTTAAGAGTTCACTGGATTTCAAATTTTCTTGAAGCTCTCTTGGGCCCTCCCTGTAGATCCTTGCGAGCCTCCCCGGCGCTTTCGGTGGCTTTCCCCGATGGCCTCCCGAGCCCTTCCCCGAGCGCTCCTGAGACGCCTCAGATGGGCTTCGACTTCGACGCACATCCCCGAGAGACTTCGAAACTGTCCTCAATAGGAGGGGGGTGAACGAGCAGTGCGCTGGGCCAAGCTGCTGCAGCGCTGCAAGAGCTCGGACACGAAGGCGCGGTCTCGCTGCCGCCGCCCGAGCCGCCGCCGTGTTTGTAGATTTTCGGTACAATCTGCGCCGTTCCTCCGAGAACCACGTCACGGGTCAGCCGTTCCTCAGAAAGATGTCGTGGACGGAGTCCACGGGTCAGCCTTAGTCAGTTACAACGCTGGGATCAGCGCGTGCCAGAAGGGCGGGCAGTGGCAGCCGGCGCTGGCGTTGCTGAGCGAGATGTGGGAGGCGAAGGTCGAGCCTACCCTTATCAGCTACAACGCTGGGATCAGCTCGTGCGAGAAAGGCAACCAGTGGCAGCGGGCTCTAGGACTGCTCAGCGAGATGCGTGAGGTGAAGCTCGAGCCCAACTTTATTTTATACTGCAATGCAGGGCCCCGCGCGTTCCAAAAAGGCGATTCGGACCAGAATGGCGTAGCAGGCCCCTGCGAGCCCCAGCAGGCCCCGGCGCGCTCCGAGACGCTCCAAGATGGCCCAAGAGCGCTCCGAAACGCCCCTGGAGGCCTTCACGAGGGCCCCAAGACGGCCCCAGACGGCCCAACAGGGCCTCCGAGACGGTCCAAGAGCGCTCGCAGACGCTCGAGACAGCCCCCAGACAGCCCAAGAGGCTCCCAAAGCCCGCACAAGCAAAACCGTCCCAAGCCCTAGGGGAAACGTACATTTTCGCAATTCTCGTGCTTCTCATTGTCAAAGCGTCCAAGAGGACAATTCACACCCCCAACATCGCCCCAGGACGCATCAGGAGCGCCCCATGACGGCCCCAAGACGGCCCAAGACGGCCCCAGGACGGCCCAAGACGGCTCCAGGACCGCTCCTGAGGCGCCCACGACCCAAGGCAGCCCCAAGAGCGGCCACAGACGGCCCAACGGCCCCAAGAGGGCCCAAAGCCGACCCCAGAGGCGTCCAAGACGGCCTCAAGACGGCCCGAGCCCGAGGGGCACCCAAGACGGCCCAAGAGGGCCCCGAGAGGGCCCCAAGAGGCCCCCAGGAGGCCGTAAGACGGTCCAAAAGGAGCCCAAAAGGCCCTCAGGAAGCCCCCAGGGGCCCGGGAGGAGCCCGAGACGGCCCAAGAGAGCCCCAACACGGCGCGAGAGAGCCCTCAGGAGCAGCTCCTAAACATGCCTCAAGAGCCGCCCAAGAGGGCTCATGAAGAGCTCCGAGGCAACCCAAGAGTTCCAACATGGCCCCAAGACGGCCCAAGAGGCCGTCAAACGGCTCGCGGCGAAAGATCACGGAGTTGTTTTATGAATCGTCATTGATTGTCAGGTTCTCGCGAATTCGAGCTCAGAGCGTCCCAAGACGGCTTCTGGGCCCCCCTCCACGGATGTTCCAAGGCTCAAGAGGCTCCGGCAAGGGCCCCAAGACGGCTCAGGAGTGTTCCAAGACGGCTCCTGGAGAAGCCCACTGGCCCAAGAGAGCCCCAAGACCGCGCAAGAGAGCCCCCAGCAGCCCCCAGAAGGGCCCCAAGAGCCGCCCAAGAGGGCTCACAGAGAACTCCGAGACAGCCCAGCACCCACAATATGGCCCCTACACGGCCCCAGAGGCGCTCTAGGCGGGCCGCGGCAAACGAAATGATTGATTTTTCGATGGTGGAAAACCGGGGGGGATCAGAATAGGGGGGGTGTCACTACCGGTTCGATCCCCCCCCTCCCCTTCGACCTCCCCCCCTTCGCTGCCGGCAAACGATTCCCGCTCCTCGGGACAGTGGGACAGTGGTGGGGACACTGGGACAGTGGTGAGGACGGTGGTGGTGGGGACACTGGTGTGGGGACAGTGGGACAGTGGTGGGGACAGTGGGCTAGTGGTGGGGACAGTGGTGAGGGGACAGCGGGACAGTGGTGGGGACAGTGGTGAGGACGGTGGTGAGGACGGTGGTGGGACAGTGGTACAGTGGGGAGAGTGGTGGGGACAGTGGGGACAGTGGGACAGTGGTGGGAACAGTGGGGACAGTGGGACAGCACAGCGAGACAGCGGCGGTGACAGTGGGGACAGTGGGACAGTGGCGGGAACAGTGGGGGGAGTGGGACAGTGGTGAGGACAATGGGGGGAGTGGGACCGTGGCGGGACAATGGTGGGGACAGTGGGGACACTGAGACACTGGTGGGGACAATGGTGGGGATAGCGGGGACAATGGTGGGAACAGGGGGGACACTGGGACAGTGGTTGGGGGCAGTGGGACAGTGGTGGGGACGGTGGTGGTGGGGACAGTGGTGTGGGGACAGTGGGACAGTGGCGGGGGCAGTGGGGACAGTGGGACAGTGGTGGGGACGGTGGTGATGGGGACAGTTGTGAGGGCGGTGGTGAGGACGGTGGTGGGACAATGGGACAGGGGTGCAGTGGGGACAGTGGTGGATGGGACAGTGGGGACAGTGGTGGGAACAGTGGGACAGCTCAGTGGGACAGCGGCGTGGACAGTGGGACAGCGGCGGGGACAGTGGGAACAGTGGGACAGTGGTGGGGACCGTGGGGAAAGTGGGGAGAGTGGGACCGTGGTGGGAGCATTTGTGGGGACAGTGGGGACAGTGCGACAGTGGTGGGGGCACTGGTGGGGACAGTGGGGACAGTGGTTGGCAAAGTGGGGACAGTGGTGGTGGGGACGGTGGTGCTGGGGACAGCGGTGGGGGATGTGGTGCGGACGGTGGTGGTGACCCGGGAGTCGTTTGCATGCGGTGAGGGGGAGGGGGTGGGGGGCAGAACCGGTATTGACCCCCCCGTTTTTTGGAGGGGGGGGGGGCTTCGAACCGATGGTGACCCGCCCGGCTTTTAGAGGGGTGTGGGGGGGAGGGAGGGTTAGGAGGGGAGGTTAGGGGTTGGGGGAAGGGGGGGGGGGGGGGTGGGGGGGGGGTCCAGCAGGGGGGGAGATTTTCGAAGGGGGGGGACCCTCGGGTTACTGAGGAAGGGGGGGGGGATTTGTTCCACAGTAAAGCGGCGGTGGATCACGCTCTCTTAAAGATTTCCACCTTCTCGCCATTTCGAGCCAAGACCGTCCCAAGACAGGTCTTGGGGCTCCCACGAACGCTCCAAGGTCATACAACAGGATCCGGAAAAAGCTCCATAACCACCCAGGAGGACTCCAAGATGGCCCAGGATGCGCCCAAGATGGCCAAGATGGCCGAGGAGGCTCCAAGATGGCCCGAGAGCCACCCGAGCCAGCCCCAAGACGGTCCACGAGGCGCCCCAGGCGGCCCCAAAAGGCCCCAAGAGGCCGGAAAGACCCCCACAGGGCCCCGAACGGCTGCCAGGAGGCCACCAGAAGAGGCTCCCAAGTTGCTCTCAAGACACGGGCAGCGGACGAGAGGCGAGAAGCTCACCGTTCGCCCGAAGGAGTTGTCTTCTCCACGCTCCGAGGGCCCTGGCAAACAGGACCAAGTCGCAGGACCTGCAAGCAAACATCCAAGCTGGCATCACGCAAACGGCAAGACGGTGCAGGCTAAACACATCACGGGCGCGTTGGCAATGAAACGGCAGCAAGAACAAGCGACAGCAGGCACACGCTGACATTCTTGCTGTCGTAGGCAGAGTCCACGGGTTAGCCCTCGGCACTTTGCAACTCTCTAAGATTAAACCAAGACGCCCTAGAAGGCTTCCAAGACGGCCTCAAGACGCCCCAAGCTGGCCTCATGACGGCCCCAGCGACGCCCAGACGGCCCAAGAGAACCCCAAGGGAGCCCGAAGTGCGGACCAAGGGGACCAAGACGGTTCCAAGACTGACCGAGAGGACAGCGCCAGGACAGCCCAAGAAAACCTCAAGAGGTGAACAGAAGCCCCCAGAGACCCCGGACGCTTGTGCTCTTGGAAGCATCTTCGTAGAAACGACGATTGGCCCGAGGGAACATTGAGGGGCAGAAGGGTGGAGGACGGAGACAGAGGATGAGGATCCAGCAGCAGTGAACAGAAGCAGGAGCGAGCAGCAGCTGCAGCAGCAGCACGCATTGACAACACCAGTGCCAAACAGCATCATCCAGCAAGCAGCAGCTGGCAGGCGGCACAGATCCACCACCAGGCAAAAGCTAGCACATGCACCAGTCCGTAGCAAGCCGTTGCCGCAGGCGGCAGCAGAAAAAAAACCAAACGAAAGGCCGCAAGTGGCAACAAGCAGCACTCAACAACAACAAACGACTACAAAAGGCCGGGCAGGTGCAAACACGTTTGCCCAGACACCGCTCGCCACGTCGAGCAGATGTCGTGGACGTGGTCCACGGGTCAGCCCTGGTCATCCTCTATCCTGCAGTGCAGCGTTCACCGCTCCCCCGATTGGCGAGCAGTGGCCGCGAACCGGCCCCCTCCGGGCCGCTTCCAGCGGGCCCTCGGGCGGTTCGGGCCGCCCCGGCCCAGAGACACCCAAGACGCCCGAACAGAACCCCCCGTAATTAGCCCCCAAACGCCCACAAGACGCCGCTGGACCCCTTCCCGCGGACCGTTCTCTCCTCCGGGCTGCTTTGCTCACGGTGTCCAGGGGCCCTGCGAGGGCCTCCAGGGACTGAACATTACCAAACATGTTCTCGGGCCTCCAAGATGAGGTCATGGTAGGTGGGGTCGGAGGATTGAGCCGCACCGCCGATGCATCGTCGATGCGTCTCGATTCGGAGCCCGAGTTTCTCACGCAGACCTCGGCGAAGCACCACCGACGCCGCCGCTGCATCGCCGATGCACGTGGGAGGCCTCGCATGTTCTGCCTCGATTGTTTCACATGTGGGAGGCCTCTCCTGTGCTGCCTCGATGATTTCACGACGCGAGGGGGCGTCTCCCGCCTGCCCGCCATTACGGGGCGATGTGGGAGGCGAGCGCTAATCACTTGTCACTTCGTGGCAGGTTACCGTGGACGGAGTCCACGGGTCAGCCCTAGTCTCTCCTACATGGCCAGTGGATGCGCGTGCGAGAATGGTTCACGCCTCGTGTGCACCAAATCGCCCCTTTACGGCGCCACCACAGGGCCGAATCGCTCAGGCCGGTCCCAGAGGCGCTCCAGAGGGGTCCCAGACCGTCCAAGAGCGCTGCAAGACGGCCTCAGTGGATCCCGAGACGGCCCACGAGGGCCCAACGCCTTTCGGGGGGCTCCACGACGATCCAAGAGGCCGCAAAGACGCCCCAAGAGGGCCCCGAGCGCACGCCAAAGAGGCACACATCGTCAAATTCCGATGGGAAAACGTATATTTTCAGCATGCCCACCTTGTGTGCTCCTCAGCGGCCCAGG